TAAGCATGTAGGTACTTTTCAAAAACTCACTGGGTGCCTATCTGCATCTTCAGGGATCTACGTATCTTTTAAAATTTGGCCTGTTGGCCCATATCTACAAAGATATATAGGCTTCTAACTTCCTTTGAAGTCCATGGAAGTTAGAAGCCTAAATACCTTTATGGATCTGGGTGATAATGTCTAACTTTAAATAACCTACTTTGAAATTGTTAGTCCTAGACAATTGTGCAGTTTCTTCCTGGCACCACACACCTGAAGCATGAAATTTGATTACTTTTATAGTTAGTTTAACTTATTGGTCACTATGCAGTCAATAACATCAAGGGACAGGCCCCAGTTAGTAGAAATAGTAATAAAAAGACACAAATATGCTCTCAGTGGGGAAAAAAAATCAACTGTAAATCAAGCAAACAGTCAACAACATTGACAAAGGAGGTTGTAATATGATCAGAAATATTTGGAAAAAGAGAGGTCATCAGGGTCATGAAAAATCTAGACACTGTCTTCAGTATTTAATCCCTCTCATGATAGTATTTAATTGTATTGTAAAAGTCTTGAATGACTTTGGTGGGCTGTTCTGCACATTCGTGACTTTCTGTGTGTGTAGGGGGGGAATTGGTTCCTGACATCTGTTGTGAATGTGTTTATCTGTAATTTTAATTCATGCTCACTTGCCTTGTCATCTGTGTTAGACTGAAATTAGTTGAGATTATCAGTTCTGTTTAAGATTTTATATGATTCTGTTAAATCCTCTCCAAGTGCCTTTTTGCTGGGATACAATTATTTTCTTTTTAATACTTTTCTTATATCAAGAGAATGGCCAACAGTATTGGATCAGACATTCCTGAATATTCTGAAACCTCGACAGTTCAGTTTTTACCTACCCAATATGGGTGTATGAACTCTGTTGTTCACTAGCCCTATTGGAAGCTGGGAATTCCAAGATCACATGGCAATTCAGATGATGGTTTCTACTGTGTTCGATAATTTAAGGAACTGGAAAAATGCATTATTACTGCAGAGATCTAATCAAAATTTGCTATTTGTATTCTTTTGAATTCATTATTTACTTGTTTAGTGCTCAGTAATTGCCATCATGAATAGATATGTACCAGCCCCATTCATCAAAGCATTGAAGCCTCTGCTATCCCTGTATAGTAAAGGATTTAAGCACATACTTAATCAACTAATCAGTGGAATGTGCCTAACTTTAAGCATGTGCTCAAGTGCTTTGCTGACTATGGATGGATTTAAGCACATGCTTAAGTGCTTTGCTGAATCGGAGGGTGAGAAGAGCATAAGAATCCCCCATTCCCCCCCTGTGTACATTCACACAGCAGGCACCCATAATTTGGCTGCTAGCAGGAGGGTTTGAGTACTGCTGACTGCAGTACTCCAGGCTCCAGAGAGTCTAGTAGGAATGTAGAAATGGTTTCATTCCCCTACACACAGATCCAGAGCTGCAAAGATGTAGAATGTAGATGTGCAGCTAGAAGGGACATAACTGTATTTCCTAGGTATGCTCCCCTGGCCTGTTAAACCTACTTTGCAGACATTCTTCCTCCGCACTGTAAAGTCCCTGCTCAGGGGATGCTCCTAATCTCTCAAAGCCACAGTGCAGCACTTAATATTTTGTACCTTAATGTACATTCCTTGGTTTTCTAGCATAAATTTTAATTTGTTCTGTAAAAGCCTAGTGACAGATGGTGGATACAATATATATGCATTCACAAAGAGATTTTGCCACTTCCCATTTGTTAAGGTTCTTAACAAGTTTAGTCAAGTGCTTTGGGAAATGAGAAGTTGAGTCTAGCAGCAGGCGATATACTTTATAATCCAGGTCTGATGCTTGTGCTTCACAAGCCACTTGTAATAACAAATATTAAACCAGTCTACAGATGGACTAGGGTGTACTCCTATATTTAGGAACTCACAGTGACACAACAAGAAAGAGTTCTCTAGAGTCTCTAATTAAATATAGTTAAGTTAGAGAACTGGAACATTAATTTTTTTTGTTCTGCCCTTTTATCACAGCCTATAAGCTTGGGAAAAAAATGATATAAGAAAGAGGCTGATTTTGAGAAGAATTGAATCTCAGATATTGTTGATAACTAGAAGGGGAACAAAAGAATCGAGGACTTGCCTAGAGAACTTTACAAGGTAGCAATTGTAATGGTCCAAGATAGGTAATTAGGGGAGGGCACATCTATATCAAATTCCTTCTGAATTTCAGAGGTGGCAAACAAGCAAGTGACAGTCCTGTGATACTGAGAACTAATCAAGGACTTTAGACAAAATTCTGATTTAGAGATGGACAGTGGAAGAGATGATGAGCAAATCAATCTACTGACTCCTGACTGACCAGAAAAGGGAAGTATCACTTTTGTAAGTGTGTCGCTAATGAAGAAAAGTGCAATCACCAGGGTAAAGAGAAAATAGAAATCACGTCCAGGGCAGAAATCCAGATAAATGTAAGGACCACTGTTACTAGAGAAACATGCTAAGCAAGGTGAAATTTACTAAGTGTACATGTTTTGGATGAGAGAGAAGTGGTATACATAACAGTAAATCCTAGTGTAGTGTTATCTGCCCAGTTAAAGTAAAACATTTTCCTATACTAGGTATGCATATGAAGAGGGTTTAGCACTCTAGGTAGCAAAAAATGGTGATATTCTTATTGATTTTATGTGACACAGCAAATGTTACAGAATTCCTTGTCTCGAGTATGTTAGCTAAAGGGCAAACAGAATTTTAATTAATTAATCCTAGTGAAAGGGTAGAAATTCGGTGTCGTTTGGATAGATGAACTTAGTGTTCAGTAGTGATTATAATTACTAAGGCAAAAGCGAGGGGTCAAATCCTCTGAGGGCCTAAATGGGTGAAGTCAAAAGCACACTGCCCTTTTACACCAGTAGAGAAGTTAGCCAGGATTGATAAGGCTTTATTTAGAATACCTGAGTGTTTTTTACCAGACTCTGAAATGAATGTAGACTAGAAAGAATATTTGCAATTTTATTAAAGGAGGCAAAAGAAAAAGAAAAGACAAAGATCTATTTTGTTGTATGCAGGATCATAGTGAAAGAGCAAGCCAACTGTTATCCCTGATTACTATTAATAAGATTAGTCAGAACATCAGGAATTTAGATAGACGTTCGCACTTGGAAAGTGCCAAAGTGTTACTTTTGCCAAGTGACTTCACACTCTGGTGACGGACGTAAACCTTTCAAGCTACAAATAAAAGAGCACAAAAGTGACAAAATGTGTGTAAGGGTTTTAGTTTATTAATTGGTATTTGGAACTAATTTTATTTTTGAACATACATAGCCAGCCTTGGAGTAAGCCCACGAATACTTGCTTGGATTAGATAAAAAAAATGTCATTTCATAGATGCTAAGGCTTTCAAAAGTTCCCCAAAGACTGTCTAGGCAATGTAAGAGCAAGGGGTATGAAAAATCCAGTATATAAGTCTTAGAACTATAGGTTTTCTTCTATTTCTTAGCTGTCTGTAGGGGAGCTTATGAAGCTTTAGAATCACTGAACTAGAACTTTTACACAGGGAATCTTTGCTCCATTCCTTTTCTAACCAAAATTGGCAGCACTAGAGTTGTACATTTCATACAAGCCCAAACTATGCCTTGCTCCTAAAGAACAGGGCCCGCTTGCAAAAATGAAGTGTGGGTTAGAATCATGATAAATTTAATAATGGCTTATTGGGAATTTTTGTATAAAATCGTCCAAGGTGTTTTTACATCAGAATCCCATGATATTCTTGGGATTCTGAGATGTGGAGTTCAAAGTCCATACTTGTAATTATATAATAATTCCTTTTTATTGGGAACTCTGAGTCCAAAGAAATGCATCCAGAAGACACGGGGCCAAAATCCTATTTACCTATCACTGCTCTGTAACAAAAGGAAATGGAATTTGGCCCAAGAAAATAAAGAAACAAAACAAAAATGAAAAAAACCCTACCATTATCATGTTCTCTAATCATAGAATCATAGAAATATAAGGTTAGAAGGGACTGCAAGGGTCATCTAGCCAAATCCCAAGATACAGGATGTGTTGTGTCTAAACCATCCAAGACAGACTGTCCCTTCAGTGACACTGGTGTAACTCCAATGTAATGATGTGAGTATTACAGAATTATAATTGAGCACATAATTTGGATCTCAACAGAGTGAATGAAGAGAGAGATTTTGAGACTTTGGGTTCACTTCATGTAAATTTTGTTATGAAATTAATAATGCAATACACCTCTACCCTGATATAACGTGACCTGATATAACACAAATTGGGTGATGGGGTAAATCCATCTTGATAGAAAAACTCCACTACACTGGAGTCACTCCATCACAGCAAAATTAGAGATAAATCATGTATTGTAAAAGTTTTTTTTTATTAGTATCATTAATATTATTTTCAGGATAAATGATGGAATGGAACCCAGCTGGTCTGGCATGTTAATGTGTAGCAACATATTTAAGGAAGTCTTCCTTTTCAATAAATCTTCCTGTTCTAATGCAAAATTTCATTTGCTGTTTATGCTCTTCTAACCAAACTTTTGATTCTCCATTATCATATACAAATTTGTTGAAAAATAGCAATTTAGTATGGCTTAATAGTAACTGTAATTGCAATGATGAATTATGTCCTGGAAAGGTGGATAGAAAGGAATGCACAGCATCTTTCCTTGGTCAATAAATACGGTAGCATTCATATTTGCTTGGGAGTTGGCTACCCTCCATACCTAAAACCTGAATACTGTTTCCAGAGGCATCTAAGATTGAAATGATATTCCCCATAATGAAGTGGATTCAGAAAAGCTCATTTAGACCAGTCTTTGCCAGGCGAAATGAAAGGAGAATTCCACATTAGAATGCCTGGAGGATAGCATCGCAAAACTATACAGAGTATGGCACAGTGAGGTATACATATTAATACTGATTATTTGAATTCAGCATGTTCTAATACAAGGTTTAATGTACTTTGTATTTCAGGTCATAACTTTTGTGCAGAAGGCCACAGATGTGGTGACAATTCAGAGTGCAAAAATTGGAACACAAAAGCTACTTGTGAATGCAAGAATGGTTATATCTCTATCCAGGGGGATGCTGCATATTGTGAAGGTAAACAAGATATTCAATGAAGTAACATCTTAGCATCCACTGAAAAATTTACTGTTAAGTAAATGGCTGCAGAATGAATTTAGTTATGAAAGTCCAAGTTTTATGATGGTGTTGGTGATACTATGGATTTATGCGTGGAAACTTCAGATAACCAAGATAGGTGGACAGTATGCTGGGACACTGCTATCCATAGGCAACCCCACTGCCATGTTATGATCTTCCTCAGACTGTCACTTTCAGGCAGTGGCACTTATGCTGTAGGTGGTGTGTAGGGGATGGTGCATCTTTCTCAGATATAGAGCTAATTATGGAGGTAGCAGTTTTGGGAATGATGCTAACAGCAACAAGAAAGAAATCCCCAATGCCTCTGATGGTTAGAGATGTTATGGCTGTGCACAAAAACATTAACCTGTTGTGCGTCCTTCAACTCCTGCAAGTCAGGTAATTTTCCAGAATGGTCTTAATGTTGTATAGAGGAGACGTATTTCCCAGGAGGCTCTGTTCTATGTTGCTGAGCTACTTCTATTTGCTAATGATGCACTATTCTGCCTCAGGAAAGAATGCAGAATGGCTTTGCTCTCATTCTCTTCTTTGTGGTGGAGAGAATCCATCCCTATTTCCTATAGCTTGCTCTTATTTTTTGATGGGTTACTCATTACTGTGTAATCTTTTTAGAATGATAAATCAACATACACAGCATTCTGTTTTGCCTCGTAAAGTCTGTGGGTTTTTTAAAAAATGTCCCAGATTTTTGGGTCTTAGTGTTGTGATTTTAGGCTTTTTTTACACTATTTCTCCAGCTTCCTCCTTCCATCAGTGCTGGTGATGGAAAAGAGATGACATTTTTGACAAGCTGATAAAAATATACTGTAAGAATGGGGAGACAAGACTGAAGAATATGAAACCAGAGATATGTTATACTGGCATCAGCTGAGCTTAAATGATCCCGTTGTTTGGAGATTTTTTTCTAACCATATATAAGTGATCAGGACTGTTCTAGACATGATGAACAAAGGTAGTCTGCGAATTAAAGCAAAAATATTCCAAGTCTTACAACATTGTTGGTGCATCTCTTAAAAGAACAAAACCAAGCCCTCAATTCTATACATGCGTTCAGGGAATACAAAAGATTTCCAATCATTTACTTCTTGGGGTAATAGCAAAAATACAGTATATTAAGAAACTTCTGTACTAGAGAGATTGTGGGATTAGCTGCTGTATAGATACTACCAAGACTACAATAATGAACTTTGTCAGGGATGATACAGTCCCCAGTATATATACTTTTTTTTTTCTTTTGGCTGCTCTAAATAAAACCAGAAGTCCCCATTTTGAAAAGTGCTTTCATTAGCATTTAGTGTTTTGTTAACCTTGTAGCAGTTTGTCTAATTCTTTTATCTGGCAGCATTTTAAACATCTTTGCTTAAAATAATATTTGAGACCTTAGCAATATTGGAATGGGGGGGGGGGAAAAAGCCCAGAAAGCTTTCTGAACAAATTAGCTGAACTTGTGACATTGCCGGTCTCAGAGTCTCTAGCTCTACTATTTGCAAGGCAAATCCAGGCCCTATCTTATACGACTCTGCACTGAACAAAAGACAACAGAACAAGATTGGGTCTGCTTCTTGGGGTCAGGAGATATGTAGATGAAGAGAACTACAGTGCCCCAAAGAGTTGTGTTTCACAGAGCTAAATCATAAGTATTGATCCGCAGGTGAGATCCCCTGGTGGGGATCTATGGCCTGACAAATCCATTAGCCAAGGAGTGACTCTTATTGCCCTGTAATACGGAACCCCTAACCACCCACAGAAAACCCCTGTGCAAAGCCTGTTTATCTCGCAGATCTGTCTCTCTTATCTAATTACTATAATCTATCTGCCTATTCTATTGAATAGCACTCAGTTCACAGTCATTTGACTAAATTCTGCTCTCAAAGGCACGCGCAGCTGCCATTGAAATCAATGGGAGCCATATATATGCCTTTGAAGGCAGAATTTGCCTTAGTATGGGCCACAGTATTGGGTGTCATGCAGATTTGTATTCATATGAGTATATCAGATTCCTGTATCTATTGTTTAATATTTAAACATAAATACTTCTTAATAGACTGAGATACAAATCTATAGAACCAGAGAAAATGCTCATGTTAAGCACTGGTAATGTTCCAAATTTAGTTCTGTTGTTCCTAAGCATAGAAATATAATGGCATAGAAGATCATTTCTTCTGAGACATGTAGGTTCAAATATCTCATATTATGACATATCTAGGTACAGTGGCACTTTAGTTCAGAATACTGTGGATCATTAATTCTGAGCTTCCAGGTTTCATATCTCCTCTGACATTATTTGAACCTTTTTTGGTGTGTTTTAATGTGTGGCATTGTTTTTCCTTTACCATATTGTACTGGCATTGCGGCTGACTTCCACTGATGTAAGTTTTGCCTTTCTTCATGTTACATTGTCACCCCTTATTTGCCTGCACATTGTTTTGACATTGTAGCATCTCCTCTAAAGACTTGCACAGTATATTCCTCATGAATATTTGTAACTTTGTACCATTATATTTTAAAAATTGCATTGCCATTGTCATGGAAGAACTTTACTGTGAGTCCAAGGTCCATTAAAAACGTTGATGAATACATCATCACATTTTTTAACAAATCTGAAATACATCTACAGTTCATTCTCCTCAACAGCTTCTTTTCAAATGGCGATGTTAAAGCATGCATAATCTATGTGAAAGCAAGCATTTTAATAGGAAAGGTCTGGCTATGCCTTCGGAATAACCACCCATTAAAAACTGAAATTTTTTTAGAAATCAAGATGCTTCTTAGCAAAGAAAAAAGTATCCAGAATGAATAAAGAAAGTGATTAGAGATCTGTACTGTATTAAAGAGAGAACAAACCCTACTTTTTTTACTAATTAAAAGTAATAGGTTTTTTCTTTCACTGACTCTTCATCTACCCGCTTTGTGCCTCTATAATAAGCATAGAATTTGACATTTTCAAAGTGATAAACTAACGTTAGTTAAGTAGTCTTCACAGACCCTAGTGGGGAGGAGAATTAGTATTATAGATGGGGATACCGAGGCACAGATAATTTAAGGGCCTCGTGTTGAACCATGCCTCTATTCAGCCATCATTTGCAAGTGATCAAAGTTGCATGTGCACAGACACACTTGAGGTCTTGCACATGTGGGGATTTGCAGTTGTAGAGTGAGGGCACATGGGAGTGTGCAGACTCATCGTGGTGTGCCCAATGTGATGTAACAAGTTAGTGGCAGAACTAGAATTAAACCGAAGGAGTTCATAAGTCTCCATGCCATGCTCATTCTTCTTCTAGACCATGCTGCCTCTAAAATAAACATTGTAATACTTCACACTTTTGTAATGCCTTCTGTCCAAGAATCTCAAAGCACTTTACAAATATTAATGAGATCATCCTCACAACACACAACATGTGGGGATAGATATTTCTCTCGCTCACAGACCACCTAACTCCTAGTTCTGTGCTTTAGCCACCTGACTGTCCTTACCTTCTAGATGCTGATAAGCAAGGGTCTGGTCTTCCTCTCATTGAAGTCAATGGGAGTTTTGTCTTAGATATCAGTGGGGGGACAAGATTGTTTCTAACTTTTCTCCACCGTTTCAGTTAGATGTTTCCCTCACTTTGTTTTTTAGTTTGTTGGGAGCAAGAGGCTGTTTATATGTTAAAATTATCATAAATGTGTAAGAGTTGTAGTAAAAATGTACCTTAAAAGAAGTATTTGTATTTAAAAAACAACCAACCAAACTCTCTTCCTCTGCAGGAAAAATGCAAGTAAAAATGATTTTAAAAAATCACAAGTTACCTTGTCATGCTGCACAGCAGTATCTTTTCCCACTTTGGTTAACCAATGTCATGCTGAACATTCCTGTGATAATGGATACAATATAAAAAGTCATCTGTTGACCAGAGTAAAGGGAACCTATATGATTCATATTCTCATTCTGTTAGTATTTTGCAAGCTATTTTTCCCCCTCATTTAACAAAGCTGAGTGACAGATGCACTCTAAGTCTTTTCCCAATGGGTCATTTATAGGATATAACTAACAAGCTTTGTGAATTTGAATTGATCTTTTGGAACCAAATAACCAAACAGCAATATTTTATAACAGAAAAAATAAAATTTCCCTGGAACAGCATTGATTGCTTATATTGGCCTATGCTTAGGACAGGACATCCCAGCCAGAGATCTGTAGCCCTTGGGAAGGAGGTGTAAAAGTTTCCTCAGGTTAAATATGGGGCTGGGAGTGGTTAGTACTTGTTTCCCTTCTAGAACCAAAGTTGGATAGGTTAAGGCTGGAAGTATATGAAGTTCTGTGAGTTCTAGATATAATTCTGGTTAGTTTCCTTGTATGACCCATTAAATAGTACCTAGATAGGATGTCCTTGATATTCATTTTGTAGTATATGGCTAAAACAGAAAGGTCACAAAGTTTTCCAAAGTTACCATTTCCTGGTGGGTAAAAGAAGTCTGGTGGGTAAAAGATGAGTCCTTAAGTCCCCCATCAAGAAAGTTGTGCTCATTCCATTAGACCAGTGGCATAGAACATCATAGAAGCATCCTCAGCCAATATGGATTTTGGTTGCTAGATTCTCCAGACACTTCTGCTTGTATAATTATTTTATATCTATTGGTTTCTTTCCATGCACCCACCTACTAACTACTTGGATTGGTGTTGTCTCATTCTCCAGCAAGTGAACCATTATTGTTTTATTTGTAAATTCATCCCTTCTTGGGAATGAAGTTCAGCCAGTCCTGTAATTTGTTGAGTTTAATCATAGCAGTGTGCAAATCATGGGCAATCTTACAAATGTTGACATTGAAACAGTCTCTATGAGACGCTCCCATATGGCCATTGTCTCAGAGAATGTTTCCAAAGCTAGGAGAAAGGAAAGACAAACAAGAGAAAAGAAGGATAGGGATGAATATTATTAATGGATGTTCATTCAAAG